AAAAATATGCAGCTTAGGTTAATAGGGAAAATTAGCTCAATTATACATTTTGGTGACTATTAATCAAAATGACTACACATATCCAATTTGTTCACCAATATGACCATAAGCAAAATTCCTCTAGTCTGCCAAGAAGAATTTCTTAACCGGAGGTGATTATCTTTTGGGGAGAATAATTTAAAAAAACGTGAGGTAGCAAAAAATGTCATACAATTTAGTGACTGAGCCTGTGAGTAAAAGAAAACAGAAATGTTAAATTTAAGCATATATGTTTATGACTACAACATACTACATGAATACCAACATGAAACGCATGCCAACACTGAACACCCTAAATAAACTGCAAAGCCAATCAAATGTGAGTGATTAATGAAACCAAGACAATAACTTAAACATGTTGAAATGACATGGAAATAAAATGGAACTGACTATCACCTGAGAGCAGATGGTAAGAGTGGCTTTAGAGTCAGGCATCATAAACCATAGTGCTCCTGTGGAGTGTGGGGATGTGGACTGGGATCTTGCCGATCAAATGACTTGATTGATTTGGATCTATAAAGGGAGGAAGGGTTATATTTTGAGTAGTTTAGCTCGGTGGTGGGAGTGTGGTATGCAATACGTTTAGTCCTACAAAATCATTCTCTTTCTTGGAGTTATAACTCAGTTAAATGTGAAAACACACATGTGATATACAGGACATCATTATCTCTGATTTCTATTGCAAATAAATTCAGAAATCATATAAAAAAGACACTTGAGAACTTGTTTGAGAATCATCACATCTTTAAGTTTTGAATCAGCAAAGGTTCAATAACAGAGTAATCTAGTGGCAGTTGTCTGTATACTCACTCACTAATCTGGCCTGCTTGTAATGGTGCCAATTTGACAAATTTGTGACTGTTTTTGTTTGTTTATTTGACCTCTGGCAGGTTACTTCTCTGCTTTGTTCCAGGTTATTCACTGGACTTGAAATGCTTAAATGTCAAAATAAAATAGGGCAAAATGAGGGTGACACTTAAAGGCTTAGCTGATGAAAAAAGGAGGACAATCGCCTCTTCCTACAGAAAAAAAACAACTCAGACTGCATCAAAATAAAACAATGTTACTCAAGAAGTGATTTAAATTATTGTGTAAAAAAATCCAACCATGACACCAAAGAAAACGATAAAATAGATTCAATAAAAGCTCGATAAAACATATTCATTAAGGTTTGGTCAATATGAAAGTGTGCAAGTTTCCTTAAACAGTGTAGACGTTGCTGACCATTTTTGCACACCCTTTTGGGAGATGTATCCCATTTTGACTTTGGGACTTCCAGCCTGTACGTGGCACAGATGTTTCTGTACACTAAGTAAGCCACTTGGTTATGGTGTTCCATGTATGCCCTACCTGCTAGCATCTTGCACCCTCCTGTTATGTGCTGGATTGTCTCAGGGGCATCTTTGCACAGCCTGCACCTGGCATCCTGCCTGGTATGATAGACCCCGGCTCTATTGATCTTGTACTTAGAGCCTGTTCCTGTGCTACCAGGAGTAGTGTCTCTGTGCTGTCTTTCAGTCCAGCTTTGTCCAGCCACTGGTAGGATTTTTTGATATTAGCCACTTCTAATATTTGACGGCGGTACATACCGTGCAGAGGTTTGTCCTTCCATGAGGATTCCTGCTCTTCCTTCCCTTGTTCCTCTGGTTTCTGCTGCCTGAGGTATTCACTAAGCACATCATCACTCGGGGCCATCTTCCTTCTGTATTCATGGATCTTTGATGCTTCATCCTGGATAGTGGCTCTGATGCTCACTAATCCTCGGCCGCCTTCCTTCCGCTTAGTGTACAGTCTCAGGATGCTGGACTTGGGGTGAAACCTGCTGTGCATTGTAAGGAGCCTCCTTGTCTTGATATCAGTGGCCTCTATCTCCTCCTTTGGCCAGCTTATTATGCCAGCGGGGTACCTGATGACTGGCAGGGTGTAGGTGTTTATTGCCTGAACTTTGTTCTTTCCATTTGAAGTGTCCTTTAGCAAGACATTGAACCCTTAGTTGCTCCCAGTGATAACACCGGTGTGTGAATGTGTGAGCGTTTGGGAGTGCGAATGGGTGAATGGCCAAATAGTGTGAAAGCGCTTTGAGTGTGCTGTAAAGCATAAAAAGGCTATACAAATATAAGACCATTTACCATTTACCATTCAGCTGACTTCTAAGGACTTGCTCTCTGCAGGTACTTGGTAGTT